TCTCTTAATATCACCACCCAAATAAAATACCAAAAAACCAAAGTTTTGGGTTTTTTTTTGCCTCTAACACCATTTATTGAATTACTTTTCCTTTACCATAGATACATGGTAATTTTTTAAAGTTTGTCTTGGCGGAGAGTATCCTTACTGCTTTACTTATTTGTCTGTGTCATGCCCATATCATTTAAGATGGTGAGGCTTTGTGAGCTGTTCTCCCCTCTGTAGAGCCAGCTGTCCATTCACTGCTTTCCTGGAGTCAAATTCAGTAAACATGACCTTGTGCACTACTGAGTTGTGACCAGACACTCTGTACAACTTAAAATGCATAAAATGAAAAGACCTCATCATATCATTTTTCCTGTAGCAAATCCAGTTAGATTTAGAAATATCGTCCTGTGAATTCTGGACAAAAGAAGGTCCTAAAATTGTTAGTGAGTGAGTCTGGGAAATGGAAATTCATTGTCTAATTCCCATTTTTATCAATTCGATGTGTGCAAAATGTTAATCGTATCTCTTCATTCCTTTATACCTTCCTCCTTTAGGAGGATTTCATGGGTTCACTCGAGTTTTAATCCTAATTCATTTTTCTCATAACACCTTAAGTTCCCGACTCCAGTATCTCCCACTTCAGGGGCTTTGATCCTCACCATCTCCTGTTAAAGAGTAGGCTACTACACGTAAGGTGGGTGCAAAGCCCTAAAATCTGCACCTGTAGTTCAGGCAAGCAAGGAATTAGGCATCTCCCTCTCAGAAGTGACCCTCTACAACCACACTCATGGTCTTCATGCAGTTCCTTCGGCACTTTTCTACCAGAGTCACTGTGTTGTCATGGCATTGCACGGACTCCCACGAGTTTACTCTAATTTTTAGGAATTTTGTAAAGCTGGTTGTTAAGCATAATCATTATTAAAAATTGAATGATATAAACTGACAACTAAATAAACTATATCAAAAATGAAGATAAGGGCTGGGGATGTGGCTTAAGTGGTCAAGTGCCTGCTTTGCAAGTGCAAAGCCCTGAGTTCAAATTCTGGTCCCCCCCAAAAAAAAATGAAGACAAGTCAAAATTCATGGCTTCCTAATTATTTACTGCATTCATCTTTCATTACTGCTCTTGAGGTTAGCCAAGCCCATTGCATCTGTGGGTGGATGTGATATGATGGTGTACCACTGTGCATCTTTTTTCAACTCTGCTCCTTGGAAGCTTGAAGTTGGGTATGGTGACAATACATACACTACTGAAACTGGAAAAAACACACTGCACATCAGAGTCTGACTTGTTATTTTATTGAGTGTGATGGAGAGATGCAGATTAAGTTCTAAAATGCAATCTGTCCATAGCCTTTCCATTACAAATGGTCCCCCAAATTAAGAAAATATCCCTGCAGTATTTGAAAACTCATTTGATTCAACAAAGAAATGGCTTATATCATTGACTAACCACATATATTTTTATTGCTTAAATTTCCTCTTACTCCTAATATAAATGAAAATATCAACCAATGGTCATGCCAGAACTACACTTTGTTACCAATTAAAACCTTAGCTTGGTTTTGGTTACAAGAGTTTGGCAAAAATCAACCAAAATAGTCTTTGAGAATTGTGTATGTAGCCTTCATAACAAAGAACAATATATATTTCATCATATTATATTGTGGGCTACACATGCTTTATATCAAGATTTATAATAAACTATGCACATATTTATCTGTATACACTTTTTTGAGACCTGGTGGCCAAACTTTTACCAAAACACTGCCAGCCAGAGGTGACAAACTGTACCAGTGCTATAGTTTATTGACCCACGTGATGTTTCTGAAAAGAAACAAAAATGCTAGTGGTATGCCAACATTTGCAAATTGCAAGATTTCCCATATAAAGCTGCAATTTCTAATTCTCTAAGCATCAGATCTGGCCAATGATAATCTCTCTTGGCAGCACTCACCTGAGCCGAGCTGCAGTGGACCCTCCAGGTGCACGTCAGGTACATCCCCAGTTTACCACCAACCCCACCACTCCCTGCTGCCTCTCACCCTGCATCTGAGTCTTAAACGCCATTCATCCCCATGTCTGTGTATGGATTTCCTGTTCCTTATGTATCCTACCACAGCACAACATGAACCACATTTGCAGTCCATGTATCTGGGGACCTTCGGGCTTGATTTATAACTAAATTAGCTTTTACCTTCTTGGTTTTCAATCCCATTGACCCAAAATGATTTCTGATAAAAATCACATAAAACATATGTAAAAGGACTCTGAAACTGTGAAAAGCTACCAAATAGAAGTATAGGATGCACATGACATTTAATTTTTTACATTATTAATAAGGCATCCATTAAAATTCAATTTGTTACATTTTCAATAACTAATAACAGTACATATGTTTATTATTTATATTTTTATATTTCTTTTCTGCCTTCTTTCCTCCCTTCTTTGTCTTTTTCTGTTACTTTAAAGATATCTCTGAAGTACAATATCAGTAATGAGGTCATTAATTTTTCTTTTAAAATTTATACTTTAGTTCTCATTTTGGCCTAATTTAAATGCTGACATTATGAACTCATGCTAATTAGTCTGAATGGTCAAATCCCCCAGCAATTAAGCAAATGTAGAAATCTCAGGTTATTTCAGTTATCCTATGTTAAGGTTAAGAGATAAAAAAGAAAAATGTCATCTATCAGGAATGTGACCAAGCTGGGACATCCTGTTGTTTCACAGTGAAACTATTGCTTACCATTTTGTGGTATCATGAATGCAATAAGGTTTCAGCTTCATTGCATTCTGAGTTTAGACATTTGTACCACATGGATTCTTGAGATGCTGGGGGTTGAACCCAGGTCTTCATGAATGCTAGGCAAGCGCTCTACCACCGAGCCCACCACTGCACCACAGTTTCCTTGTATTCCACTTTAATGGTAACTTGGGTGTCTGTGAGGGGAGCTTTTTTTTTTTTTTTTGTACAATGGTGAATCAATTTCACTTTTTTTTAAAAAATATGTTGCTTTGGTTCCTTTTATCAATACACATAATACCATTTGTGTTAACTATGTCATAAAGCGTCTTAACTTTCTAATGTTAAATTTCCAAATGAACTGAGCATCAAGGGCTGGAGGTGTGGCTCAAGTGGTAGAGTGCTTGCTTTGCAAGTACGAAGCCCTGAGTTCAATCCCCAGTCCCCCCTAAATAGGTAGATAAAATTTTAAAAAAGAACTCTGTCCTGACCCCAAATGAACTGAACATCAAAAGTTCTTTTTTAGCTATCTATTCATAATTTGAACACCTTTACCCGCGGGGAATAATGTTACAAGTGATTGTTAGAGTCCCAAGCCAGCCCTAATGTGGTTTAATGGTTCTACCATTATTAATCTAAGTTCTGATTTCTGGAGCAAGAGGAAAATGAAATGAGAGATAGAGGAAGTGGAATAGTGGGGACAAAGACAAAGACGTCAAAAGACGAGGAAATAGAAGAGAAGTACTAGAAGAAAATTTTCCCGGGGCTAAGCAGCACTCTAAGCAAAAATTCACAATACAGTGTTTTTGTTTCCTCTAATTTTCACTTCTGCATCCCCATCTCAGGATCCTGATGCCCTCATTTGATGCTAAGGTCCCACCCAATCCTTGCCTATTCTACCTTCCCCAACCCTCCATAAATATGCGTTTAAAACTCCCATTTCTCAATATATCTGTTCTTAGCAAGTTATTTGGAAAATATCAGCCTACAAGAAACTAGTCATTTCATGGAATTCAAAGTCCCCACACCTCTGAAATTTATCAATTTGTTTTTGTTTTTTGGGTTTTTTGAGACAGAGTCTTAATATATAATCCAGGCTGACCTCAAACTTGAGATCCTCCTGCCTCAGTCTCCTGAGTGTTGGTATTACAGGTTTGTGCCACCATGACCAGCATACACCTGCAATCTATCATTCTTGACTTAAGAGAATTCCAGGTGCGGTCATAAAATGAAGCAGAAAAAAATGTGAAGCAGTATAATAGTCCCTTACCTGTAGTTTCATTTTCCACAGTTTTAGTTATCAGAGATAACCATAGTCTGGAAATATTAAATGGAAAATTCCAGAGATAAACAATTCATGTTTTAAATTCCAAGCTGTTCTGAGTAGCATGATGAAATCTCAGGCTCTCCTGCCCCATTCCATCTAGGCCATGACTCATCCCTTTGTCCATCTTATCTACCCTATGTACACTACCCACCCATTGTTGCAGAATTGCCTATTTGATTTCAAGAAACCCTATAATGGCCTTAATGTGCAAAGTAACAATGCTGGCAACTTGGCTATGCCAAAAAGAAGTCATAAAGTGCTTTAAGTGTCAACTCACATTATCACTAGAAAGGTGAATACAGTATAATGGAAGAGAGAGAAAGAGAGAGAGGGAGTTAAGTACAAAGGTACATAACTTTATTATGGTATGTCATTATAATTGTTACTGATCTCTTAGTGTGCTCAATTTATAAATTAAATTTTATAATGGGTATGTATGTATGAGAAAAAGCAGTATGTGTGGGGCTTAGTACTGTCTGCTGTTCTGGGCATCCTCTGTGGTCTTGGAATGTATCCCCCACTGACAAGGGCGGACTACTGTAGTTTGAAAGAAGATGCTCTTCTTGGGGGGTCATGCCTATGTTGAGCTCTCATTGGTAGTGCCTGATGCGCACTAATTTCTCCACTTTTGATCTGACATCTCTCCACAGACTGCCTGTCACAAAGACCTAGCCTCTAGCTGGCTCTCAAGAGATACTTCAGGATTGAATCAAGTGTAGTTGTTGCTTTTTATTTTCTTTTTCAAAATAGCTCCCAAGGTTGTGTGGAGTAGAGCAAAGAGAGATGGTTGTTTGTAGGTAGGCTCTGTTATGAATGGGGGCCAGGAGGAAGAGGTACAGTTGTGGGTAGCCGTATGTATCCCGTGGTCTTATTGTCAAGTTCCTTGTTCAAATGATCCATCATTTTCAAAGTCTCTGTCAGTTGGACACAGTTACAATGTTAGTAAATGACTGTGACAACATAGCTTTCGTTGCTTGGCATTGGGAAGGTCTTAAAGTAAGAAAAGTCAGGAAAGTCACTGGCAATGTTGGAAATGTTTTCAACACTATATGATTTTAAAGATGAGTCCCTGTTGAAAAGAGCCATATCTAGGAATGAGATAAATGTACATGCTTGCCAGCCTTTGTGTGACATTTGCTTCTCTCTGGAGTTGTCATCCCTACTGCTGTGGATGAGCAAGCTCTGCTCTGGGAAGGGATGCTTGGCCTCAGTGTTGATGCGAAGCCTCTTCAGCCCGCAAATGGCCAGGTACTCCGTGGGGAGGGTGTTGGGACTGCACAAGGAAAGCTTCAGGTCCTGGACCAGCGTGAAGTTCAATAGGTGTCCCAGCACCGATATGTCTGTGAACCAGATGGTCAGATGACCACTGTAGCTGGTTTGTTCTACTGTAAAGGGTAGGACAGTTTTACAGCTGCACATCAGGTTGGCCAAACTGTAGTCACAGTCCCGGATGTCTGCAGGGCAGCTACAGTTCCGAATGATGTTTTCCTTTGTGAAAATTAACGTGCTATTCTTCTGACCTTTTGTGAAGTGGTCAAGTGCAAAGAAGCCCAGTGCACTAATCAGAAGGAGGCAACGTGTGGTACGTAGTGTCATTCTTGTCCAGTGTGGGTTGGAGTGTTCCTGTTTCTCCTTCATGAATCAATTCATGGAATTCTCCTGAAAATAAAACATGCAACTTTGTTGTCAGAACCTCTTATTAGAAACACACAGCTCATAAAAAAGGATCCCCCTCAATAACCAATTATAGACTATTCTGTAAGGACAGGCAGTGTTTTACTTTGCAGCCTTGTGAGAAGCAGCAGCCAGATGTCTGAACTCTGCTTGGCTCAGTCATGAAACTGATAGTGAGACTAACATGCCAAGAGAGCCGATGCCTGCAAGACCTACCGCATCCTATCTACGGGCAGAGGTCTGGAATTATTTCAGTTAGCACATTCTCTAAATATCCACTTACTACTATTTAGTGCCTGTAAACCCCCTAAGCATGCACATGCCCTCCTCCCCTCAGTATTTGAATTCCTGGAATTCAAAAACAAACAGTTCCTTGTAGGAGTCCACCATCCATGTATTGCCTATTAAACTGCATAGCATGACTAGCAATAAGACATTGAGTTAATGGTAAACTTACATTTCTAACTAGACAAACATGCCTTCCACCTCCTCCTGAGCGTAATCAACCTGCTATATTCATTCACTCCTTTCTTTCCTGCCCTACAGTCAATTGGAACTGTATTAATAGACCACAGAAAGACCGATCACCCACCAATACTAATCACAGTTATATTGATTTATCTTCTATTCCAGAACAAGTTTACGAATTGGTTTTGTCAATTTGTTGGGGAGTCCCAAACTAAACAACACACAGGCACTGCTAAATGAACTAAAAAGATAGGAATTTATTCATGTTTTAAAGAGTAATAACTACGTCCAGGTTGGGGAAAGTGCCCAACATGTCTGGCATATAATAGATGACTGTTCCTCTCTCATGGTGTCATTGGAATGAAACAAGCATTATAGCAGAAGATACCAGATTTCAGTTTTGCAAAAAGAATCAAAGTTTCTCCTGAGATACCTGATGACTGAAGATAAACCAAACAATATAACTCAGTTCTTTTGCGTTGTCGAACACCATAGGTATAAGGAGATCCTTGGAATGAGACTGTGACTAGGAGGGCACAGAGCTATGGTCAAGGCCATCACAGGAAGGGACAGGAAATGATAGATGTAAAGGTTATTCAGAGGAGGTAAATATATGTCCAAAGAGTGTGGGGACAATAGGAAAGGGCTAGACAGACATGTAACAATTGATGAAGTCACAGGTGGCAAAACAGGCAATGGGCATTGGAGGGAGGCAAAACTAAAAATGCCAGGATAAGGAGGTAGGCACAAGACTCTCACAGGTGACTGGAATGCAGGGAGGATAAAAATCAGTCCAGTTGAGTAAACTTGAACATCAATTGTAATTGGAATTCATCAATCCATCCAACTGTCTGTTCATTCACTCACTCATTAAGTAATTAATTCATTCATATAACTCATGCTTATGAAGAATTTATTAGGTGGCAGACACTTTGCTAGCTCTGGAGAAACAGCTCAGAACCTTTATCCTTCATGGAGTTTAGATTCTAACGAACTTGATTCTGCTTCCATTTGTCTATGACATCAGAGCCAAGGCCATGTCGGGTCTGCATACAAGGACCCAGAGCTGCAGCCCGGGAGAGAAGGGAGGAATCTAAGGAGTGAGGCAGACCGCAGCACGGACTAAGTGCCAGGCCCTGGCCTAGGCCAGGCAGAAACAAAGATAAACAAAACCTGGGTGCTGCCTTCCAGGTATTTATACTCAACAGTGGAAGACAAGGCTGAACTGAGAAGGGATACACTGAACAGAGAAGTAAGAACACAGCAGTATTTCAGCCAGAACCATCATCTTCTAGTAATTTGCCAAAATGATGAACACAGAGGGAAAGAGGAGAGGTACCCAATATATGTTTTCTAGGACATTTAGAAGACTGGAGTTGCCAGTAGCTCTGCAATTAAGAGAAAGGATTGACAAATGGGACTACATGAAACTACAGAGCTCTTCACGGCAAAAGACATCCAACAGAATAGGAGAAAATTTTTTACCAGCTATACATCTGACATGGGATTGATAACTAGAATTTACAAGGAGCTCAGAAAACTAAAATCCCAAAGAATTAATGACACAATGAAGAAGTGGACATATGAACTGAATAGAGATTTTTCAAAAGAAGAAGTACAAATAGCAAAAAAAAAAAAAAAAAAAAACCATGAAGAAATGCTCAGCATCCTCCATAAAAGAAATGCAAATCAAAACCATATTAAGATTCCACCTCATTCCTGTTAGAATGGCTACTATCAAGAGTACAAACAACAAATGTTGGTGAGAATTCGGGGGGAAAATCCCTGAATATACCATTGGTGGGAACAAAATTAGTACAACCACTAGAAAAACAGTATGGAGGTTCCTCAAAAAACTAAAAATAGAGCAACACCACTTCTGGTCATATATCTGAAGGAACGTAAGGCGACAATAAAGACAATTACATACCCATATTTATTGTAGTGTTATTCACAATAACCAAGCTATGGAAACAGCCCAGAAGTCCTACAACTGATGAATGGATTATGAAAATGTGATATGCACAATGGAGTATTAGTCATAAAGGAGAATGAAATTGCGTTAGTCACATGCCAATGGATGGGTCTGGAGAATATCATGTTAAGTGAAGTACACCAGGTTCAGAAAGACAAAGATCACATGTTTTCTCTCATATGTGGAAAATAGATCCAAATACAAATATAAGCATTATCATATATGTGTGTGTGTGTGTGCACGTATATATGTATGCATATATTTATGAAGACAGAGAGAGAGAGAGAACATGTTTCCAATAGTGGAACTGTTAGAAGAGACTACAGGAAGAGGGAAAAAAGAGAATGGTAAAGAATGAATAATACTGAAATACATAGCATCTTGTAGGAACAAGACACAACAAAATGCACTGAAAACTGCTGAACAGTTTGGGGTAGGAGAGAAGGGTAAGGAAGAACGGAGGTTAGGCTGATTTAAGCAAAATATACTTACAGATAAAATACCAAGGCAAAACCCCACTGAATGAACAAGCAATAAAGGACAGGAATGTAAACCAGGTCATGTTAAAGGGAGGGTCCTAGTGAGAGGGGGAGGGTAAATGAAGAGAGTAAAGGAGGGTGAAAATGGTCAATACAGTGTATGAATACAGAACATTGAAACCTATTGAAGTCATTTTAAGAAGGGGAGGGGGAAGAGGGAGAATAATGGAGGGGATGAACCAAATGGGGCACACTGCACACATACATGGAAATGTCACAATGAACCCCCTGTACAACAAGTATATACTAATAAAAATGTTTTAAAAAAAGAAAACATAGAGGTGTTCCTTTAGCCACACATATGCAAATCTTTAAGACATCAAGGAAACAGGTACTGTTCAAAAAGGAATGCCCCACAAATGTTACTGTGGCAAAACTGGAAGAGTTTGCAGTGTTACCCAGTTCGCTGTTGGCATTGTGAACAGCAAGTCAAGAGCAAGAGAACTGATATGCATGTTGGCATATTTATCACTCTAAGAGCCAAGACAGCTTCCCGAAACACATGAGGAAATGACCAGGAAAAGAAGGAGGCCGTAGAGAAAGGAGCCTGGGTTCAACTGAAGCACCCTCCTGCTCCACCCAGACAAGTGCTTTGTGAGAACCCATGGGAAGGAGCCTGGGCTGCTGGAACCTGTTCCCCGTGAATTCATGGCATAAGAGGTGTAAAACAAGAAATAGCAAAGGCCTCTGGACTGGAAAATGATACTCTTAATTTTGAGTGGTACACTCATCCTCAAAGAGTCAAAGGAAGAGGAGGAAAAGGAGAAAACATGGAGCTAGACTGAAGTTCATCGGCAGCAGCTGGTAGGGGAATGGATAAGGTGGTTGGTGGTGTTTTGTGTTTATTTTGAAGGTGACATAGGATCTCTTTAAAGAATTTATTAACATGTTCACTTCGCAATAAAAGAGCTTTGAGAAGCTTGGGGAGCCAGAGTTTTCCATGAACAAGAGGCTTCCATTTTTAAGTGATGTTAGAATGTGGTGGTGACTACCTCCACTTTAGCAAGAAATGGGAAAGAGTTTATTAATTATAAGATAATTTTAGATGATCAGCTGTCCCAGATTCTATCAGCGGTTTCTGGGACTTCACGTCCCAGTAACCCTGTCTTCTCAGAAAGAGGAATCCTGTCAATACCATTGGCTCTTTCTGATCCCAGCTCTTAAAGGGAAAGGGAGGGATTTGCCCACAACCTGGTGAGAAAAGTCTGCCTCATTTTTCAGGTCCTGATACTGTTCGGAGGCATAAAGGTAAGAGGAAAGGGATAGGAAGAGGAAAAGATATTAATTTGCTAGAACACATGCACAAGAAATTTCCAAAGGGATTTGTGAACAACTTCCCAATAGCTGAGGCCATGACAAGAGCTCAGTGGTCCCTGAACATTGGACACTGGGGATCTCTAAGACCAGAACAGGGAAAGCAGAGGCAGGAAGCTTCCATAAAGGTGTACAGGTCAGGACAAATATCTCTTGTGACCAGTTTATGGGGAGCCCCACAAAGATGCTAGTTAGATGTTTTTCTTCTTCAGTTAGCCATGAATTTCTTTCTTCAGGTTTGTTGAAAGTGGATGTGAAGAGTCTAGTTTCACTGGATACTTATTAACTTGTGGACACATTCCACTGTTGTATAACCAGAATGGCACAAATTGTCCCTTGCTGTACCTCAGCCCATAGTGGGTATGAAGAGGGACTCATATTATAGCATGGGGGAAAGGCTCAATGAGGAAGCACACAAAAAGCTGGGATGCTGAGAAAATGAGGTGTCAGATCAAGGTGGGTTAGAGGGTTCCAGCCCCAAAGAACCCCTTGACTCTTCCTTCCCACTGCCACTCCTGCCAGTCCCACAAGCCATCAATCTTCTCCATCTTTTGGCTCTTTCAATTCTTGTCATCCCATGCTAGTGATGTAGGTAATTTTCCTATTTTCTTTTATCCACTGAAGAAATATTCCACGACTCAGATACTACCTCCTCCATGAAGTTTGTCATGATACCTTCA